AGGAAGCCCGGGCACGTCTCCCCATGGCTGGAAGAGCTGTTTGACAGAGGCTTCAGCTTGAGCCCAGACCCCTCTCCCCAGCCCTGCCTCCCTCTGCTCTCAGGAGAGCCCCAGCTGAAGGTCTGAGCTGACAGTGCTTCGCTGTTCCACATTCTGGTTTTGTAAGAGAAACCTAATTAAAACTGGCCATGGGGCAATCTGCTGCTGCAGGGGGATGCAGGCTGTGAACAGACTGGCCACGGCTTCAGGAGGGAAAGGAGAGGGGAAGATCGCCAGGAGTCCTCTGTAAAGGGCAGCAAATGTTCTACATTCCTCCCACCCTGCACTTTCTGTAGTATTTCAGCTATGTACTGCCTGCTTTAACTACCACATACTACATACCACATACTACCTGAAAGCAGTGGGACCCACCAGAATGTGCCAGAGAAAGAACAGCCCTTCCCTTTGCCCCTTCCCTCTCAGATGCTCTTGGACAAGCAGCCAGGGCAGCCCTTTGGTGATGGCTTTGAGTCACTGGGTGCATTTCACAAAGCCACAGAGCCACAAAGTGGCTACATCACTTGGGTGCAGCCAAGTGGTGCCCCAGTCGCTGAATCCCAGAATCATTCAGGTTGGAAATGACCTCTGGAGATCATCCAGTGCAACCCCCTTGCAGGGGCATGGGGCCACACTGCCTGCCTTGCAGCCCACATCCTGCAGGCAAGGCCATGTGAACCCCCTGGGTCTCACCCAGGGGTAGCGCTGCCCACAGAGCTCTGTGCAGGGATGTAACTGTGTCATAGAAGCTGTTCTATGCACCTGATAAATTAAAAATAAATTAAAAACTAATTTTAAAAGGCATCTCGTTGGTTTAGGCTCCGAGGGTGCCCATTTGGTGCAAGAGCAGCACCAGGCTCCATTGCATCGAGAGCAATGTGAGCAACGTGGAGAAGCTGCTGCTGTCAGAGGCAGCGATCGCTCCAGCTTGTTGGCAGCAGCATCCCACCACAACAAATTAAAACATCCCTCCCCTTTCTTGCTCACAGATTTTAAGCCAAAGAGTGACATTTAAATGTGGATTCCTGTAACAGCGGGAGATTGTGTGCTCAGCTCAGAGGAAGAGGGAAAGGATTAAAGGCAGCTTAACTCCCTGCACGCACCTTACCTGGCACAAGTGTTTCTGCATGAAGGTCCTTGGGAGGCAGAATATGTGCAAGGAATTAATCTCCTAAAGGGAGACAGCTTTTAAAGGGCTCTTTTAAATGGTCAGGAGGGGGCTAGAGCAAGTGATGGGATTTCTCCTGTAAGCCTGGACAGCAAAGCATCACTGCCCTGTCTGCCAAAGGGAAGCACAGGAAGGGACTGACCTACTAAAGTTCCTGCAGCAGGTTAATGTCACACCCTGGGTACCTGAAACCTGCCATTCCCAACACCTCAGCCCACTCTGCTTCCCCAACCTGCCCCATCTGGGTGCTCTGGTGCTTAATACCTCCGTTAGGAGATGGTGAGAGCCAGCGCAGGAGCTCGAGGAGGATGTGAGCAAGAGCACAGCTCACCGCAAACCCTTCACACCCCAGCCAGGGCAGCAAGGACGGGTGGCAGCCAAATGAGCTGTGACAGTGGTGATGTGTAATTGTCCTGTATAAAAATTAAACAAGCTTGCTGATCCTATTTAATTTTAATCACGCTTATTTTCCAACGTTGAGCCTTTCTGGTGCTAATCCACTTTAGCACAGCCACATTCCAAACTAGCAGCATGGGGCTGGCACTCTCCAGGAAGCCTGGTTTATGCTGACACAGTGCCAGGCCCAAGCCAGTAGGTGTTCTCCCACTTTTGGCATCTGAAATTCAAAGAAAATAGCTTGCTATGGAGCAAGGATCCAAGCTAATTAAATACTGTAAAGCCTTTAGCTTTCTTCAACACTCCTTACTTTTATGTGTCACATCAAATTCCCTCAGTGCCAGTTGTATTCTCAGGGTGCTTAACAAGGATAGACAGAGCATAGTTCCAAATAAATCATTACAGCCTACAGAGCATGAGCCTCTGCTTTGAGAAATGTCCTTTAAACCCATCCAGGTTTATCTCCTATGAAAAAAAAATAATCTGCCACTAAGCCAGAAGCACACAAACACACTGGAGATCTTTTAACCTTTGCCACCCCAATGGATGAGCTGTTTAAACCAGACTTTTAACCTGTTTGCATTTCACAGACAAAAGCCAAGCAGCAGAGATGCTCTGCCTGGGCCACCGCTGCCATTCACCTCTGACCTGTGCTCCTCTGGCACAGTGATGGCCCCAGGTTTGGATAGTGCCCTGCTCTCTGCTCCTGCAAAACCACCTCTGCTCAACCAGCAACTAATGGCTTGGCACAAAAAGCCCCCTAAGCAAGGAGGGTTCTCAGCCATGGTGACCCTGCTGGGGTCCTTCCCTGCCTCTCCTGGCCATAAGCTAAAGCACAACAAGTTTCATCTCAACATGAGGAAGAACTTCCCACTGAGGGTGGCAGAGCACTGGCACAGGATGCCCAGGGGGTTGGTGGAGTCTCCCTCTCTGGAGACATCCAAACTCAGCATAAACACGTTCCTGTGTGAGCTGCTCTGGGTGGCCTTGCCTTGCAGGGGACTGGGCTGGATGATCTCCAGAGGGCCCTTCCAACCCGAATGATTCTGGTATCTCATTTGCTTTCCGCCCCAGCCTTCCTGACCTCTGCATCACCAGCTCATGCTGGGCACTAGGCTCCTGAAGGGTCTTAGGTCTGTCCGTGAACCAGGCAAGAGCCGTTTCTCTGCTGTGCCGTGGACAGGAGAACCACAGACCTGTCCACATCCAGCAGCTCATGAAGGAAAAGGGAATGAGGCGATCATCACCCCGATGAAACAAACCTCTGGTAACAAAGAACTGCTCAGAGGGAGATGGCCTTGACGCAGGGCTGCGAAACTTCAGCAAAACTGGTCCCTTTGGCACTGACAGAGATCAGCCACCAAACCCAGGTCAAAACGTGCCATCTCCGAGTGCCCGTGGAGGGGTTCAAGCAGTCCTGGTCCCTCTCCAGGTCCTCTGAGGACAGAGTCAGCAAAGGCCCGAGGCAGGGGAGAGGAAAGCTCTCAGGGACGTGCTCTGCTGTTAGCCCAATGCTCTGTGATCCTCCAGAAGCCTCAGAAATGCCAGTTAGAATCAGAGAGACTTTCCAAAGATGTATTTCAGGCTTTATTCACTGTGACAACTGCATTTTACCTTGTGCATCTCTCTGCTATGGGGCTGAGCAGGGTGAGCGCAGCTCAGGGCTGCACCAGGCCAAAGCTCCCGATTCCCTCCCTGCCGGGGGAGTGGGGAACATCTGAACCCACCCCCCCCGTTCACCTCAACACCTCCCCATCATAGAATCATGCACTCAACTGGGTTGGAAAACACCTTTAAGCTCATCCAGCCCAACCATTCCCAGCCCTGCCAAGGCCACCACCAACCCCTGGCACTGAGGCCTCGGCTCCACGGGCTGTGAACACTTGCAGGGACGGTGACTCCAGCCCTGCCCTGGGCAGCCTGTTCCAATGCCTGAGCACCCTCTGGGCAAGGAATTGTTCCTCAGCTCCAGCTAAACCTGCCCTGGTGCAGCTTCATCTACACAGGGGTGAAATGCACACCCAGATGAGTCCTTTCCCACTCCCACTGGCAACCCAAAGAGCCTGAACCATCAGCCCAGCTGCAGACATCTGAAATTGGGGAAGGTGGATCCCCCTTGCCCCCTCTCCAAACTGGCAGAGACTGGCTGCCAGACAGTCTGGAGGGGCTTTATTCTCCATTCTTCCTCAGAGCTGAACAGAGCTCCCAAATACACATGACCATGGGTGGCACCTCTGAACCCCATCTGTGCCCTCTGCATTGCTCTGATGCAGGGCAGTGCTCTGCCAGTGACCCATGTCCTTGGCTGGGCTGGCCCAGAGGATGCTGGTGCAGCCGACCCGCCTGCAGAAACAGAGGGTTTTAGAGACAGGGTCTGCTTTAGTCATGCTTCACATCTTGCTCTGTAATTAAACAGCCTGGAAGGCTCCAGGTTTCTCATTAAAGGAACAAACAGCACAGTCGGAGGGCACACTGTGGGAAGGCAGCGTCCCCTCCTGCTAGTTAGGTGACCCTGAAGGCAAGCATGCCAAAAGCAGAGCTGCTGCAACCTGCCAGCTTTCCTCCACCAGCAGGACACTCTGCAGGCACTTAACTACCCAATTTTCAGATGCTGGTTCTGGCACAGAGCCTGGCTCCAGGCCATCCTCTCCTTCCAGCCAAGGAAGGGCCCCAGGCAAAGAAAGTGTCACATAGGAC